CCCTGGTAGTGCAAGGGGTTAAAATACAACCTGTGAAGTTGTCCCTAGCCACTGCAGCGCGAGTTCTATCCCCAGCCAGCAAGCTACCTACATGGTGCAGCGGACCTCTCCTGACTTGGCCGCTGCTCCCCTCAGCAGTGTACTTCGGTCAATCTGCCTGTTCTGTTCCCCACTCTCTCTGGTGAATCCTCTCCCCCACACCTCTGGCCTATACCCCAGCTCTTATATGCATAAATAAATAAATCTTAAAAAAAAAAAAAAGACTAAAATTCAAAAATAAAAATTTAAGGGCTTCCCTGGCGTTGCAAGGGGTATGAAGCAATCCACAGCCTCTGCAGCATGAGTTCAATTCCCAGCTGGCAAGGGAGAAACCCACATGGTGAGGCAGACCTCTCCTGTCTTGTCCGCTACTCCCCTCAGCAGTGTACTTTGGTCGATCTGCTTCTGTTCCCCGCTCTGTCTCTGGTGAATCCTCTCACCCCCCACCCCCACCTCTGGCCTGTACCCCAGCTCTTGTAAGTATAAATAAATAAATCTAAAAAGATAAATAAATAAATAAATGCAATAATAATGGATTCCTTGGGAGAAGAAGGAGATAGGGATAGACCACATAGATTTCAGTTATTGCCAAGCTCCTAGCTTTCATGTTGATTTCTTATGGTAGTATTATAAGTAAATAAATGCATGCTAAGCATGGAAAATGATAAGAATGCTTCATGAACAAAGGTTATGATGAGTTTATATCTGTGCACCCTTAAAGGCAAGGGAAAGAAATCATGAATAGCTCCTGCAGGCAGCCTTACTTGCTTGGGGGTTATGGGGAAAAGATTTTTCTACCCCTACCCTCTCTGAGACTTTTTCCAAGGCTGCCTCTCTTCCTTTTTTTTTTTTCTTTCCTGCATTTGAAAGGATTGGTTTATTAGGAAAGGGAGAAAAGAGGCCTGCATATAGAGCTGTTGCTGGGGCTGCATTTGAAAGGAAAACTTTTGCTAAGAGACACCTGCATAGACACAGGTGAATAGTTTTGAGACAAGAACTGCCCCAAGACTGTAGTTTTTCTTCCTGAGAGGTGAGCTGCTGGCACTGAGGTGGGGCAGCAGGGAGGGGAATTATCCAGGGTTTAGTTACCTCAGAAAGAGTCCAAAAATCAATGGGGAAATGGCCTCTTCTGAGGCTGCAGGAAGAATCTGGAGGAGTGGTTCAGCTTCCATTCCCATTCAGCTTCCCCCACTTGCCAGGCTAAGAACTGCAGGGTGTGTAGTCTCCCACCCATTTCCTGTTTAGCTTCATCAAAGCCCTCAGAGAGGGGTGGGGAGGATCCTCAGCAATGGGCTAGAAGAGAATGGGTCTGTGGCCTGAGTTGTTATAAGCATGGTGGGTACTAGGGAGCGAGGATGAGTAGGGACAAAACAAGTATCTTTGAAATTTAGTCAAGGATTAGGGGGCTGCTGACTCAGAACTTTTACACATCCCTTTCCTTTCTGCCTAGCCTAGAATACACCTAAGCAATTCCAGAGAGCCTCCTGACCCTCATCCTGGGCCCTTTCCTTCTTTACCCAGGCTGTAACTCCTAATCCCATACCTTCACCTCTACTTCTTCCAAACCCCAAGATAATACCTAATTTGTGAAAAAAGGGATGGGCAAAGGATCTAGGAGGGCACTTAGAACTTTTCACTGTAGTGAGAGGGGTTGGAGGTCACACTGAACTGGACATATTTTAGGATGGAGTCTCACTTTTGGGGTACCAGTTGGAGATCATGCTGGACTGGCCTGGGATAGGAAACACAGGGAAGGAGCTGAAGTCAGGCCTAGCAGAAGCTTTGGGGTTCAGGGCTTGTGTGAGATACACAGCTACACTGACACAAGTTCCTTAGCACCCTGGATCCTCAACTGCACCTAGAAATAGAAGACATGAGGACCTAAAAGTATCTCTCCCTTCCCTGACCTCAGCAATTCCTCCTGACAAAAGGGCCTTCCCCAGAAGGGCTGCTGGGGCAAACAGGGAGGAACCAGATCTGGGGCTCCAGAGGAAGTTGCTGGCCACTATACTTCCTGAGTTAAAAAAAATGGGTTCCCCTGTCTCTCAGGCCCACTCCCTCATCCAGGCAAGGGAGAGATCAGGCCTGTCAGTCTACCCCTTCCCTTGACATCTGCCTCTTCTAAAACACAAAAGCTATGAACCACACAAGTCCAATTCAGTGACACCACTTCCCAGCATCCCACAACCCAATGCAATTGCACCTGCAGACCAGGCATTCAATAACACACCCCGACTGATGCACACCCCTACTCACCCAGCAGTCAGGCCTTCTCTTTGTTCAACATTGTATCACCAGGAGCTAGAATAGGGCCTGGTACCTGGAAAGGGCTCAATGAACACTAGCTGATTAAATGAATTCACCAAGACACATACATAAACATGTTTACAAGCCCAAGTACATGTTTACACATGTATGCTCCCTTACACACACACACACACACACACACACACACACATACACCCCCAAGGCCTCTCTCAGCTCAACAGTCATATACACATACATTGGGACACAGTAAAGTAATAAGGCTAGGGCCTCCCTGGTGGCACAGGTGGTTGAGCACCGCACTGTGAAGCTGTCCACAGCTTCTGCAGAGCAGGTTCGATCCCGGCCAGTTGGCAAGAATCCCACATGGCGCAGCAGACCTCTCCTGTCGTGCCCACTGCTCCCCTCAGCAGTGTATTTCCTCAGTCTGCCTGTTCTGTTCCCTACTCTAGTCTCTGGTGAATCCTCTCAACCTCACGCACATCTGTCCTCTACCTTGGTTCTTGTATAAATAAATAAATCTTTAAAAATAAATAAATAAATAATAAAGTAATGAGGCTAGATGTACACTAGAAAGCCAGTGCCAAACTCACTGCAGGTGTTACCACTCAGCACTCCCAGGGTGACTTGGTGGTAGCAGCTGGCTGGTAAATGTCCTTCAGTGAGGTCAAGCCTGCAGTGTGTGTGTGTGTGTGTGTGTGTGTGTGTTTGTGTGTGTACATGTACAAATGGAGGTTTTGGTTTTTTGGATTCCTGAGGCTCTGGAGCAATGAAAAGGGGCTGGGCTAGCAGCAGAATTGGGACAAGGTAATTTCATGGATGATGGGGAGAGACATGTAGTCCCTTCAGCTGGAGAGGTGAGTGTTATAGGTACAGGTCTGAGATCTTACTTCTCATCCAGAGATCTGAGTAGGAGAATGGTTTGAAGCTGTGAGGGAAGTTAGGTAGGAGGCTATATAGGTGCTAAGACCCCATCTCCAATCACAGCAAGGCTTCTGATCTTGCCAATCTTCTCTAATGGAGTGGGGTCAGGAACTATAGTAATCACTATACATTAAGGAATCTGGAAAGTATCCTATTCCTCATTTTTATGTGGAGCTTAAGGTACCCTCCTCCCTCCATGATCCTATCAAATCAGGGAGGAGACACAATCCTGCTGTTCTTTTACTTGCAGGTCTAGGCATCTTATACCAGATATCTCAGCTGGCTTGGTAGTCTGGGGCTGGGTAGGGGTGCAAGACCCACTGACAAAAACAGCAGTACCCCAGGCATTCAAAAAGCCCAAGCTCCTCCAATCCAAGTCCCCTCCTAGGCAGGGGCCTTTACCCCAACCCCTCCCCTAACAGGGTAAGGTAAGGCTGTCTATTCCAGGAACCCTGCCTGTCTATCAATACTATGACCCTTTGGAGTAAGGAACAACAGTGGTAGCATGAGGGTAGGCTGGAAAATAAACTTTTGAGGGAGGCGGTTGAGCTTGGGATACCTGAGGACGAACACCATAAGAGTGAAAGGGAGTTCAATTCATACCTCCTCCCCCAATGACTGGTTTTAAGGACTGTAGGAAGGAGGAGGAAAACATTCCTTGGACCGAATCATTATTAGGCATCAATAACCAACCAGGACACTCTCAAACCAAAAAGTCTCTTTATTGATTGGTACCATACATGACTCAAATGGCAAAGGGAAAAAAAAAGGCATTACAGTTGGGGGTGGACATCCATCTTTCCCACCCCTTCCCTCAGCTCCTGACACAATCCCCTTCTAACAGTGGTAGCTGGAGTGGAGGAAACAGGGCACAGAGGAACCCCAGAATCCAGAAGGAAGGGTGGGGAGAGGTGGTGCTAACACTTCTGGAACTGACCACAGGAAAAGGCAGCGAAACCACAGAGCTGGGCCCAGATACATGGGACCCTGCTCTTAGCATCACCCTGGGCTTGGTGCCTCCGTGGGTCCAACTGTGAAATGGAGCTGAGGATCCTGGTTGTCACTCCCTCCCTTCTAGGAAAGGGAAGGATAATGGGAGATGAAGACTAATTCAGCTGGAGGACAGAGGCCTTATTGCTCCCTGGTGGGCTTAGAGCTGGGGCATCCTCAGGGGCTCCATGCCTGCCACTGAGGAAGGGGTGAGGAAGAGGGGGGACAGATGTGCAGTTTGAGTGGCTGGAGGAAGAGTACTGGAGAGAGTGGATGAAACCCTCCCCATCCCATGCCTGCCCAACCTAAACAAAACAAAAAACACAGTGACAAACAATGGCTGTTCCCTTCCTTCCATACTCCCTAAGGGAAAGAGCCTTCCCCTCCCCCTATCCAGGACAGCTGCTCTAGGAGAGAATATACACACCATGGAGAGAAGGGTGTTGGGGGCTGGGACAAGAGGGAGTCACAAGCACTAGGAGGGCAGGCCAGAGTTCTGGAGAATGGGGGAGACAGAGACAACGGCAAGGGGCTGTCATCAAGGGAAGGTCATCAATTGCCCTCTACCCCACGGGATACCATCCCCAGCTTGTCTCCCCAGAGGAAAAGGAAAGAGATGGCAAAGTGTCTCCTTGGTCTGAAGCTCTCAAACTGTATAAAATTGTATGTATAACCCCTGCCCTCCCATTCTCCCCTCCACCTGGGCCCTAAGACACCCCCCCCCCACATCTGCCAATTAGGGAGGTAGCTGGACTTTTAATAAGGGGCAAAGGGGGGACATGTTTTTTTTAACTTACATTTTTAATAATATTATTTTTTTAAAAACTTGGAGCTGGGATAGGTGGCAGAAGGGAGAAGCCCAGAGCTTTACCCCTCTACTACCAGCCACCTAGGGGGAAGGTTTGAGGGAGGGGCACTCAACCAAGCCCCATACCTTAAGTCCCTAAGGGCTGTGGGTATAGACAACCCCAGGCTGGAAGGGGGTGGAGTCAGGAGGATGGAGAACCCAGAACCTGGGAAGATGGAGGCAAATGCCCTGGGGGGCGGCCAGGACACTTCTCAGAGGACCAGGGTCCACATAGGCATCCACATGAGTAACCCCTTCCCCCAAAAGGCTCTGCAGAGGCCAGGCCCAGCCCAGGGCCACTGGGGGGCAAATCTTGGCACCTGCCCCCAGAGAGTCCAGTTCCTCCCTGAAGTGGGTAGATGGAGGCTGCCCACTATAGATAGATGCTCAGTCTCTTCATTCTGTCTTCTGCTCCCTGGGGCTGCGAGGGGTGGGGCAGGCAGGCAGAGCGCTGGGTGGCCGTGGTGAGGCCTCTATTGGGAGGCCTGTGACGTGGGGTTCTCTGATTTGCTCTCTTGGCTGGATGGAGGCTTGCTGTTCCAGGGGCTGTTGGCGCCCAGGGCAGGGGAGTTGTTAAAGCTGTCCTCGTCGTCAATGCCGTTGGCCGCGTCAAACTGGGTGTTCTCCAGCCGGGTGATGAGCCTCTCGTCCTCGTCCCCGAACTCCCCGCCCATCAGGGTGGGCTCCCCCACCACCATCACATCCTGAGAGTGGCGGAGGTCCCCAAACATAATCGGGGCAGGGGCTCGCCCAGCCCTGGGCGGCAGATACCCCCAGAGCCCCAATACCCACCCAGGTAACTCAACACCCCCAACCCCTCCTTATACCCAAATTAAAAATCCCAACTCCTCTGACACTCTTAGCCCCTGGAATTCTTCCCACTGAAGGACTGTAGTCTTTAACCCATATGCACTAGATTCTGGGAGAAGTCCATCTATTCCCCTAGCTCTCTCTAGTCCTATCTCCCCTAAATTTTAGGGGGCTCCTAAACTTTGTCCACATGTAAAGAGAAGGAGCAATCAAAAACACAAAGGGGACACGTGTGTGCAAGTGCATATGCATGTACTCTAGATTTGCACATATTCAAGTCTGTGTGTTCCTCTATCAGTGTGAGTGCATGTCTCTGACGGGCTGGTGTCTACAAGCTGTCTGTCCTGTCCGTCTGTATGTTCTCATGGCTATCTCTGTCACTTATATATCCTACCTTGTCACGTGTCTGAGTCTGTGTGATCACAGCCATGCATGTGACTGACAAGGACTCTCATCAGTGACAGGAGTCAGCCCATGCTGCAGAATACACTGGGAAAATCTCTTTGCTTCTATGCCTGCTAGTGAGCTCAGGCTGGGACAGGGTCAAGGGTCGGGGGCAGCAGTGGGGCAGCCCAGAAGAGAGAAGAAAGCCGAGATGCTTACAGGTACCTGGCTGGAGAGGGCGAAGGTGCTGGCTGGGCTTTTCTTCTTGCTGTTGCTGTTGTTGGTGTTGCCACCCCCCGAGCTCATGGTGCTGCCCCCTGACATCTTCCGTTTCCGCCGTTTGCTGGGCTGCTGCCGTGCGGGCTCCGCTATGCCAGGGAAAGGAGACTCAGGTGGGGGGCAGAACCCTAGGACCCTTGTTCCCCATTCTGGCTCCTAAAGAACCTGACCCTACCCTGATCCCAATCTTGCAGACCCGAAAGCGAAGAAGGACTTCTCATAGGAGAGAGAGATACCGCATCAGATGGCTGTAAGAGCAGGTGAAAGGCACTCACCGGGGGGCGCTACCATGCGCTGCCACTTCTGAAAAAGGCAGGTCTTGAGGCAGTCACGGGGGCTGAGGCTGTAGGTCTTGTGGCGGGACATGAGCTCCTGCATGGGCTCGAGTATCACACAGAGCTAGGGGTAGACCAGGAGGTGGCTTGTCAGGAGAGAGATGTGGAGCTTAGACCAATGGGATGGGGTAGAAACTGAGTGGCTGAAGACTCACTCGGAGGTAGTTGAGAGTGGAATTGGACAGCCCACACCGGGTGATGTTTTTGGAGAGCTGATCCAACATCTGGGGGTCCTGGGCCTAGAAGGGGAGAAAGGTAAGAATACCAGCAACTGGGTTGAATCTGCTCACCTGTCCTATCACCCAAGCGTAATGATTTTTTTTTTTTAAAAAGATTTATTTATTTATTTATACAAGAACCGGGATATAGGTCAGAGGTGTGGGAGGGTGAGAGGATTCACCAGAGACAGAGCGGGGAACAGAACAGACAGACTGACGAAATACACTGCTGCGGGGAGCAGCCGGAGAGACAGGAGAGGTCTGCTTCGCCATGTGGGACCCTCGCTGGCCGGCCGGGATCGAACCGGCGCTGCAGAGGCTGCGGACAGCTTCACAGTGCGGCGCTCAACCACCTGCGCTACCAGGGGAGGCCCATGACTTTTTTTTTTTTAAGATTTATTTTGATTTATTTATTCTTACAAGAACTGGGATGTAGGCCAGAGGTGCAGGGGGTGAGAATTCACCACAAACAGAGTGGGGAACAGAACAGGTGGATTGACTGAAATACACTGCTGAGGGAATCAGCGGGAGAGACCGGAGAGGTCTGCTATACCACGTGGGTTAGCTCCCTGGCCTGAGAGCGAACTCATGCTAGGCAATAGCTGGCAACAGCATGATAGTGCTTTTAACCCCTGCACCACCAGGGAGACCCACATCATGACATTCTTGAGAAAAGACAGGCTATTATTAGACCCAGTCTTCAGAAGGAGAAAGCTAAGCCTCTGTCTAAAGTCTCAGGAAAGGGATACTTTTTTCCACCCTTCCCACTGGCTCACTCTAGGTCTTGGATCTGCCCACAACTCACATGCATGGCAAGGATGCTGCGGGGGATGAGTTCCCGGTGCTGCCGGATGCTGAAGTGCCACGTCTTTATCCGCATCATGTCATCGAACATGAATTCCAGGTATAACCGGCCCTCCACACACACCTGAAGACAAGCTTGTTACAACTCTGCCCCTCCCCAACATACCTGAAAGTGTGCCTGCTACAATTCCCCTTACATGCTCATAACTATCCCATCACACATACTTCTGCCACCTGCACAAAAATCTGGGTGCAAAACTGACAGACTAGCCCCTCACATACCTATCTATCTGTCTGTCTGTCTCTCTCACACACACACCAGAAATGCTTAATAGATTGTCAGCCTCTCCTCATGTAGGTAGTGACACTCTCATCTGCTATAAGCTCTATGAGGGCAAGCTCCTGTTCACTGATGTACCCCTGGGGCCCGGAAAACTCAATAAATGTTTATGAATGTGAAAGCATGCCTGCCCTCCCTTCTCATTTGCCATTTCCCATTATGCTCCCCGGGGAAGAGCAGAGTACATTTTGGGAGCAAGAAGGGGAAGCAAATCCAGTGCTTCAGCATTCCACATCCAGTTGGGTTGCTGACCTGGGTGAACATGGGTTTGCCATGCTGGGTCACCATGCTGCCCTGGTCACAGTCGAGAGACACAAAGTTGCTGTGGAATGCCTCCTTGGGGTGCTTAAGTACATAGTACAGCTCCGTAGCACCCCCCTCAAAGATGCTGCGAAAGTAGCGTGGGATCAGGGTCCGGCCAATGGCTGTAGAGATTAGACAAATTCTTCAGATCAGAAGGATTCAAAAGGGTTCAGGCAGATGCCAGCCCTACCAAGCCAGATTCCCTAGGACAAATACCCATTCCCAGATCTTAGGACATGGTAGGTATATACTCTCACAGCAGAATTCACAGGACCCCCAGAAGTCACTCACTGTATCTCTTTGGTCCATCCTCCAGGCAGAAAGTAATGGTTAACATGGCATCATCCTCAAAGAACTCAGTTGTGAAAGCATCCCACCAGAGATTGTCACACTCCTAGGGAGCACAGGGATGGTTATAAATATGCCTGAAGACATCCTACAGGGGTGCCCAGATGGACCTCCCCTCCAAGCCCCTTGGCCTGGCCATACCTCTGTCCAGTTTTGAAGCCGTTTGTTAAGCTCAAATATTCTGTAGTCAGTTTGGTTGCCATATGGTGTATGCCTCCTGGGGGAAGTGAGGGAGGGAGCTCAGTAGAAGCAGAGCCCCTCCGCCCCCTCCCCCCCAAGCTTCTGCCTTCACTCATATAATGGAAAGCACCTTCCTCCCCCCTGGACTCCACTTACCCAATCCCAGGCTCCAGATATGTAGGCGGGTACATGGGAGTCGGGCTGTGTAAGGGAAGAGGCTATGAGAATGGTGGTGGAAGACAGGAATTATCAGAGGGTACCACTCCCTCCCTTTTTCCAACAGGATCCCATCCCATCTGGAGAAGGGATGGGAAGAGGACATGAGACTCACCCCACATCCCGATCTAGCATGGTGCCGGGATGGAAGGGGGGGAAGGCGTTGCCGTTCGGGGGCTCCTTCGGCGAGTACAGCTTGAATGACTTTGAGGAACAACCTAGAAAGGAAAGGAAGAAGGGGTTCCTTGAGGCCCTCTTGGGAGGCTTTCCTAATAGCCAGCTAGACTGGGATCCCGTCTTACGGAGCCCAGGGAGTAGAGCAGGGGAAGAGAATGACCTAGGAAGTGTCTATCTCCGTTTCTAAATCTGGCTCCAATCTTGTATTATTGAGAAACTAAAAGTACTCAGTCCTAATACCTAGAATCCCATTTCTTCCTGTGGCTGAGACTTGCATGATAGAAGAGGAAGTGAAGTTTGGAAAAAATGTCAATACGTCAATACCACAGAATAAATAAATATCCAAACCCCAGAATTTAATTGTGATAAACTCCTTTTCATCCATGTCATTTTGTGTAATTGTCACCACCTTGTGACGTGGCAGGGTCAGTCATAGCATTCCCATTTTTGTGTCCAGCTAGGGTAACTGAAAGCTCAAGGGGACTTGCCAAAATCATAGAACTAGCTAACTGGCAGAGCTAGGGCTTGAGCCCAGATCTTCTGATGCCTATGTCCTACAATTTCTAGCTCTCTGTTGCCCTCTGGAAACCAAGGTATAGGAGGAGAAAAAGGGGGTTTTGCCAAGTCCCTGCCCCTCCTCCACTCCCAGGGTCCAAGGAGGGTAGGCAGGGGATAGAAAGATAAAGGGGGGTGAGTGCCGCCCACTAGATAACCAGTTGTGCCTTTAGCCTCCCCCAACAACGGCCATCCCCCTTATCAGCTCAACCCCCTCCCCCACACCCACCGAGGGTACAGTATTGTCTCCAAATCAGAAACCCCAAACCTCACTCATTTCTGAGACCTGCAGAGGGTAAGGGAGGTACACAGGCCTCCACTGGATCCCACTCTACTTACAAGTAGAAAGTAGGAAGCCTGAGAAGGAGCCCAGGGGCCAGGGGGCTCAGTCTAGGAGGCAAGTGGACACTAGACAGAGGTCTCTGCCTGTGTGTATCTACGCATGCGGGTATGTGTGCCTTCTCCCACCTCACTCCACAGCGCAGTTCCTGGTGTACTTCTTTGTGACTGGAAGAAGAGCTACAGTCATAGTTAGGTATAAGCCAGGTATCCCCACAAGTCTATTTTCCCCTTCCCTGCCAGGAAGGGGAAACGGAGTCACAGCTCCAAAGGTACTGACCCCATTTATATTTGCTTCCTCAGGTCCCCAAAACTTGCTTGTATTTAGGAGAGTAATGGTTTGGCTGTATCTGAGCCCCCTCCCCTATTTACATACAAAATCTATTTTGTTCCTTAAGGGAAGAGACAAAGGAAGACCCTGTGCCAACATGTGTCATTTAATTCTCTCCCTAGGGCCCACTCCTCACAATTTGGGCAAAAGGAGGGTCCCAGAGGGGCCTATACTACACAGTCCCTGAAGGTGCCAAGAGTCAGAGCCTGTGTGTGCCTGCACACGCGTGTGTCTCATCCTGCCTAGCAGGCTTCCACCCTCAGCTCGCCCCAACATGCCTGCCAAGGGTTGGAACCCAGCAGCCCCAGGCAGGATCAGGGTGCCCACAACAGGCCCTCACCCCATGCATGAGCTCTCACAGGCCATGTCCACATGTTCCCAGAGCAGCACAGACTTGACACGCCAGTCTGGACTGAATGAGCAGCCTGTGCCCTCAGTAAAGAGACAGTCCCACCCAGTCCCCAAGTCTGCCCACTCCCCAGACAAGGTAGGCTAAGGTGACATAGGAAGCCAAAGCTCACACAGCCCAAGATGCCAGGCTTAGGCAACAAACCCAAGAATCTGGATTATCAGACCTGGCTCTCATCCTAAGGAGGCCAATCCTTTCCTCAAAAGTATCACTGCCCCTGTTCCCCCCACACACACACCAAGGGTCCTTCAAAGAATGTGTCAGTTCAGGACTCTAAAAAAGAAGGGCGCAGCAGGACACCTGGGTTCTACTCTCATTCTGAAAAAAAGTTTCAGAGCTTCCATTCCTCTCAGAACACAGCCTGGGGCTGTTCTGAGGAGCGAAAGTCCAAAGCTCTGGGACCTCTACTTACATCTCCAGTGAATGGACGCAAACAAACTGAGCATCTCTCCAGAGCCATAGCAACTCCCAGTAGCCCCAGCCCAAGGGCTCAGGAGTGAAAAGAGAAGGGGAGGGAACATCACCCAGACCATCTGTCCCTGTTGCTGTCGTCCCCAGCAGCAGGGGTAGAGGGAGCAAGGTGGGGGTGGGGGTGAAAAGACGTATCATCCAGTCCTGGAGGCAGACAGAGGCCCCCTCCCACCTTTAGCAATCGGAGTCCTTCGGAAGGGCAAGACTAGAGGAAGAGCCCAGAACTAGTAAAGTTTCTCAGGATGAAGCTGCATCCTAGGGTGGAGGGGCACACCTCCAGCTGGGCATTTCCATGGTAACCAGCCTGACCAGAGGGCAAGGCCCCTCCCTCTGGGGGAAGATCATAGGTCAGCAGGCCGGGGCGCTCGGGCCTCTGAGCTAGGGCACCTCTCCGCAGCCATCATACCAGGCCTGAACCAGGCCCAGGACATTCCACCCACCCCCAACAGACTTGCAGGGTGCTCAGACTTACCTGGGAGAACTGAGGGGGCCAGGAGAGATGTGGGGAGCAGCTGGATGCCCAGAGGGGCCCTGGCAGGGTTGAGGACTTGGGGGGGGCAACTTCAGCCGCTCATGTCCCAAGTGGGACAGGCAGGCCTGGCTGAAAGCCCCACTCTGCCGGCCGCACAAAGACTCACACGCACCGCCTGCGCCCGCCCCGCGGCGGCCACAGCCCCGGGGGAAAGTTACAAAGGCCACTGGGCCGGGGGCCTGGGGCCAGGGGGCCGGCCTGGGGGGCGGGGGGCCGCGGGGAGTCCGGAGCCTTCTTTGTTTGCAAGGTTTCCCTCAACAATGGCTGCTCCGCTCTTTCCTCTCTCCTCCTCCTCCTCGGCTCTCCCCGCCGCCGCCTCTTGCTGCCTCTGCCTCCAAGCAGCCCGCCCGCCCTCCCCAGGCCACCGGGCTCCTCTGCTGGGCACCGGGAGAGGCAGGGCCCGGCACTCACACTCACTCACACACGCGCGCGCACACACACAGACACACGCAGCGCCCGCCGGCTCCCTTCCTTTTCTCCCTTTCTCTCCCTCCCCGCTCGCTCTCTCCGAGCCTCTCTCAGAATGAGGCCCCAGGGCGGGCGGAGGGTGGAGCTGCCCCCACCGGCCCCGCCCCCTCCCTGCGAGGAAAGAGGAAGAGGGAGAGGGAGGGAGGGAGAGCGGCAGGCAGGCTGGGAGGGCTGCTGAGAAAAACAAAAGAGAGACAGAGACAGGGAGAGACAGGGGACTGAGAGATGGAGACACAACAGATCCGGTTCGTGAGGCCGGGAGAGAGGGGAGACCTGTGGGGGCCAGGACTTGGAACGCCCCCAGCCCCAGGTGTGGTGCTCAAGGGTAAACAGGGGAGCCAAAACCACAGGCAGGGATGCAGGAAGAGGCTCTCCTTGGGAGACTCTCCCATATCTTCAAACCACCTCCCAAACCTACCCCACATCTCCTCACCCCTGTGGATCTGTCAGGGTGAAGGCCAGCCTAGGCAGACACCCTGGGCTCAGCCCCTGGTAAAAATCCCAGAGCAGCTGAGGGGAGGCTCCAGGGGGTTGTTTTAGACAGAGAACACTCTGACTTCAGTCTGTAAACACACTGGAGGTAGAGGGGGACACTCCAGGCTCCCAGTCCCCAGCCCAGTTAAGTTCTAAGGCCTGTCTTATACAGGTCTAAGCAGAAGCTCCCTTCCCCGCCACCACCACTGGAGAGACACGTGGGTGATGGGCAAAGAGGGGCTGTCAGAGCGGGGGAAGGGTTTTGTCCATCCAAGGGCTCCCTGAAGAGGTCTAGTTGCTGCTTAATCCTCCCCCATCCCAGGGAAAAAGGTATGTGGTTACTGGGGTCGGGCCTATATACAAGAGAGAGACACACTAACCCTGAGGGGAAGAAGGGATTGGGGGGCGGGGGAGAAGGGATAGGGGGTGGGTAAGGGCTCACAGATTAACTTCTATGCAACTTGAGTCTTTGCTCCCTATTCTCTGTGCCCCCCCCATCATATTTACAAACAGTCCACAACAGGATTTCTCATGGCATACACACCAGTTGACTGTAATAATATCACACCTTGTTCTAGGACCAACCGCCACACATAAATAACATCCCACTTTAAGAGAAATCAGTACCTGATACACACTTCAACCTGTAACATACCTTAATCCCTAAATAAACCCAAACTGAGGACAGACAGACAGACACACACACATACACACACATACACACAATCTATGTCAGACCCTGAATTCCATACCCACTGGGACCTGTGACATGCATGAGCCCTGAACCTAGTAAACACAGCAAAACAGCATATATTCCCTGAACCTGTGACATACACAGCCTGACCATTTGCTACCCAGAGTCTTACCCATAAACCACCCTGCCTGAAACGAGCAGCATTCTCCATGACAGCTTGGTCATGTGATACACCCCAGCTTCACAAACACATTGAAATCCATGACATTCAGCCTGCAACACACTGCCTACCACCAGGACTTGAGCAGTTCCCAATGACCCCCAAATTTACAGCCCAATTTTAGAATTAACCACACTCCTCCCCTACTGACGGCGATTCCCGTCATTTGTTTTATGCCTTTAAACTTTCCAAAGTGCATTCATAGGCAGTACTTGAGGAGATCCATACAACACACTGGGTCAAATATTACCCTAACTGGAACAGATCTCAGTGACACAGGGTCCCTAGACAACTCAATAGATGCCCAGCCCTGGGGCACTGCAGCCAATCCTATTCCCTTTCTCCTCTGAGGAGAGGCTACTCCTGCCCCAATGACTGTCTACTTAGGGGAGGGGGAGGGGAGTGTGCTCTGGCTTCTGCCCCCAGCACAGAGCTCAAAAACCTGCACACAGTCTGTCTCTTCAAATTTTGGGTAGAAGTGTTTAAGTACCAAGAGGTATCAAAACTCTGACATAGCATTCAAAATGGCCTGCTCCCAGACGCCCTTCTCTAGCAAGAATGCACTTCTCAGTTCTGACTTAATTTCCCCAATTGCTCAGGGACTGCGGTCCAGTTAAGCAGAGCAAGTCTGAGTTAGAAGACCCTAAAGTTGGGGGTGTAGGGGAGAGCAGGGAGCAGCAAAGAATGACAAAGGTGATAAGGGAAAGAAAAAGGAAGTACCCCTCCTGAAGGTGGGAACACTGAAGGGCAGCAGCCTGCCTCAGCCCACGGGATAAGGTACCAGTATTGCCCCCTGCCCGGCCCCTGGGGCTCCCTGACCCAGGCCTCCAGTGTGCCTGCCCCCCTTCCTTTGTCTGTGCCCGGCCTCCCGTTGGCCTGGCGCTCTGCCATCCTCCTCTCCTGGCTCCCAGCCGCCACCACTGCTGCCTCTTCCCCTCCCCCTACTCCTCCCTGCCTTAACCCTTCTGAGCCACATGCTGCCCCAGCCAGGTCCTGGCCCCCTCAGCAACCTGCCCAGGGTGATGCCCTTTCGCAGAGGTCTTCCTTGCTCCAGAGCAAAGCCCGAGAAGCGATTCCCCACCAGAGGAGCACTATGGGAGCTGGGTGTGCATTTACGTGTGTATCTTGTGGTGTTTCCTTCCGCGTGTGCATGTGTATGGGTCTGCGTGTGCTCTGGCTTCCCTCAGTCACATGTGTGGGGCATGTGCTGTCTCTGCTGGGCTGGGGGAGGAGGAGCCGGGAGACAGCAGAGCACAAAGGAGAGACTCAGACAGGCAGCAGGCAGCAGGCAGGCAGCCTGCCAGGGTGCCTGGGGCCCCCACCCCAGGGCCGCTCAAGGTTGGGGGGTGGTCTCTGGGCGTCAACTGTACACGCTGCCAGGAGACCCTTGTGTTCACTCATGTGCTCCCAGCCACTTACACAAGCCTCCCTCACTCCAACTCCTACCATTCCCCACCCCCAGGCCACTCTCAAGTCCCTCCCCATGTGGTTCTCCTTGAAGTCTAACCTCTGTCCATGTCTGTGGTATGGTATCAATCCACAAATTCTTCACATTCACGGAGAAAAAGACTCCCCACACTTAGGCATCGTTTGCCCCCTCATGGGCAACCAGGCCACCAGACACACAAAAGGAACATGCCTTCCGGGGCACTGATTAAAGTTGCGCCCCCCACACACACCCCTGGTCATGGGTCCTTTTCCTGTCCCCACGCCGCTCCCATAGTGACTGAGGGGGAAACTTCCTCTCTTCTCCACTGGCCCAGGCTCCCTGGTGCAACTTAAGGGCCAATCTTTCATCTACCTCCAGCCTGACAATCCCTCCATACCCACCTCCTACCCACTATTCGTAGAAACCAAGAATCAAAAGGTAAGACTCAGCCCTCTAGCTTATTCAGAACCTTAGTTTCTGCTCTGCTCCACGGGGTAATGGAGGATCAGCGCCATGGGGTGGACTCAGAGCATGGCTGGATCTGAACAGGGTACTCAGCATGGGGCAGTTAGTTATAAAGGAGAAACTACACACACAAATGTGCACACCAAGCTAGGAGGAGGAATGATGGGACCAGGCAGGATTCCAGCTTGGCAAATTCTTTCCCCTCCTCTTCTCCCCACCCTGCAGCAGGAGCCAGGGGTTCCCACACCCAGATATTCCAGAATACTCAGGCTCCACTAACCTCTCTCTGAGCCCCATGCCCCTTAAACATCAGTCTCAGTAGGTACTTTAAGTGTGTGCCCAGCCCAGCTTGGCCTGTGTCACATGATTTTCAAGGAAGCTGACAGTGGCTTCCCTTGGGGATTTTGTGCCCATTTGAAGGGGGCGGAGGTCCAGTTGTGGGGTATGGGTCTCCAGAGAACAGGCTATCTAGAACAGGGCAAAAATTCCAAACCAGACGAGATTCAGGACACCCACTTTCAGAAGAAAAGGAACTCCAGGGGTTCTACAAACAACTGCAGGATCCAGGGTCCTGGACTTGGGGATATGCAGTGTTAAGGCCCTTCTTCAGAGAAGACCTCTCTGGACACCTGGTACTCCTCCTGGCAGTGAGGTAGAGGCTTCCGCCTCCCCAGAAAAGAACTCAGACCTAGGCTGTCACTGGCAAGAGCTGATGCCTGTTTGGGGGAGGTAGGGCTCGGAGCTGAAGTTCTCACTGAGGGTCAAACCTTGATCCCCTCAACTCAACTCTCACAAATCACTTCATTTCCAAGTTGCCACATTCCCCCTCCCACTAGGGTGGAGATGCCAGACCCAAGGGCCCAATTATCTGCGCCCCCCCCAGGAGTATCTCCAGTCCCACAGGAGGGCCAACCTTCCCTGGCAACAGGCAGAAAAATTTGGAGGGGGGCAAGATGGGCCCCAAGCAATCCCTGCCCCCCCCCCCCCCCCGCAAACACGGTCCTCAGAAACAACCCGGAGGGAGGTGTCACAGGATATTTAAGAGGGAACAGGCAGCAGATAAGGGGGGGGCACCCCAAACCATCCAATCACAACTCTATGATGACCTGAGGGGGGGGTCAAAAGTCCAGAGTCACTTCTGATTGGCTAACACCCTGGAATTCTGGGAATTTCAGCCCCCCCAACCTTTCCCAACTAGCCTCCCCCCCCAAAACATACGCGAACCCCAGCACACCCCCCCTTCGCGGCCTCTGGGCTGCTACGCATTTACACAGTTGGGGAAAACCCTCAGACTGAGGCCCCTCATGGCCCCTACAGCCCCCGACCTCCGCCAGGCCATCGACGACGCCCCCCCCCCAGTACTACCCAAACAAGGGGTGAGGTATCTGCGGGGAGGGCTAGAGAGGGAGGGGCCGGGTGCCGCGCTCTACTCACCAGGACAGGCACAGCCCACTGACATCTTCACATCGCCCGCCGCTGGGGGCCCAGCCGAGTCACGGTGCCCGCCCCGCGCGGGGACAGGCCGGGCATGAGCCGCAGCCGCCGCCCGCGGCCCCTGCTGCCCTCGCCGCCGGCCCGGCCCGGCCTCGGCCCGGTGCGGGCGCCCCTGGCTGCAGCGAGGGGCCTGTCAGGCGCCGAGCAGACAGGAAGGAAGCCAGGCGGGCAGCGAGCGGCTCTGCGTGTGTGCGCGCGGGTGTGCGTCCCCGGCGCGGGTGTCCGCGTGTGCGCGTGTGCGTGTGCGTGTCTGTGCGCTCCCGCCCCCTCCCCGCCGCCGGCGCCGCCGCGCGCCCCCTCTCCCCCCGCGCCCCCTCAGCTCGCTCCTCGCGCTGGCTCCGCGGCGCCCGCTCTCCGGCTCCTGCCGGGCTGGGCCGGGCTTTATTAATATGCTAATCGCCTGCGAGTGGGAGGGGAGAGCCGTGTCAAAGTGACCCGGGCGAGCGCGTCGCGAGCGGCGACGTGCGTGCGCCGCGCGGCGGGCGGGCGGCGAGGGGCCGGCGGCGGTCAGGGAATGGCCAGCGTGTGACGCAGCTTCTAAAAAGGCGACGGGAGCCGGGGGCCGAGACCCCGGGGGGAGGGCGAGCCGCGCGCTCGGGGCCGGTTCTCCCGGCGCCGCCGAGCTGGGAGCGTCGATTAGCCGGAGCGGGAGCCCGGACTGGGGGAGGCGGAGCTAGGGTGGGCTGTGAGGTGTAGCTCTCTCCACCCCCGGCCGCGCTCCGGAGAGAAAGGGACGGCCGACCCCCCTGGCTCTCTGTGCTGAGAGCCCACGTTTAGGAAGCCCCTTGCTGCGGGCTCACGCCCCAACTAGGCTGGGGAAAAGAAGTACTACCCTAATTCTTGTTGCAACCCCTCAACTCACCCCTCCCTAAATTAATCACTCTTCCCGTGCCTGCTAAACCTGTTGGGACTAGACCTAAAAGGGTTAATTATGTGGGGTCCCCGCCCTCCCCCGCCTAAGGGTCTGGGATCTGCGTTTTGCTTGGGGGAGGGAGCGTCGGAATAAGGGCCTGGCTGGACTGGGGAAGGGGGTATCCGCAGGCCATCATTCCCCCTTGCAGGCTCTGACTCATCGGTCAAGACACTTCACTGCTCCCTTCCCCCTTTTTCCATCCAGTCTGACCCTCCCGCCACCCAGCCTGAAAGCTGCTCTCCTTTGAGGGCCTCGGAGACCAGGCAGAAGGGGAGAACAGAAAGCAGACCACTTAAATGCCCACTATCTATAAGGGTTGAGGTCGTGGTCTGGGGGACGGGACGTGGGAGTCGACCTGGATGGTCACTGTAAGCAACACTAGGTCCTCAGAGAACACTGCGTCCTCCCGACCTTCAGGCACTCCTCAAGGACTCCCCAACCCAGCCCCGAGAAGGGGGGCAGGGGCCCTCTCTATCCCTTCCCAAAAGCCCAGCCTTAGCAGCTCATAAACAGGAAATACCTATTAGCAGGGAGAAGGAAGGGGAGTGGAGCCGTCTGGAAAAGCAAGCTGGCCCCCTCCCTTCTTGGGGGGGGTCCCCAGCTTCTAACTTCTTTTCCTTATGCTTCTGGGTAGGCTCCAGGGGAGGAGGCTGGGGACAAGGGCTGTTGTCCCCTCCCTAGAGCAGGTAGCCCAGACCACCCGGTAGGGGCTTCCTTCTTCCCTTTGTTACTTAGGAGGGGTTTGGTTGGGAAGGTTCCCTCACTCTGGCCCAAAGTCTGCACAGCTGGCTTGATTAGTTGGGGGAGAATTACAGATGTAGAGACTGAAGTGTTTATGAGACCCCTTTTCTCCATCTTAACTTTTGCTGAGGGAGCACAAAATGATGGGAAGATGCAGAGTCAGGGTTGCAAAAAGGGTCCTGCAAAGGATGGGGACCCACCCCCAGGTGTAAGAGTGTGGGGGAGGGGAGTTGTGTACATGGCCACCCATTACTCCAGCATTCCCAACCTCTTTGTGGAGCGCTCCACCCCCAGAGTGGGGGGCAGAGGACTGCTTTGCAATCCCACATTCACTCTAGTTTTCCCTTGGCAGCACCCCCTGTCAGTGTGCACCTTTTCCTCTCAATTCCCAAGACAGTGATCAGCATTAGAGGGAGTAAAGGGAACCTAAGCAATAGGCCTGGCACTTTGGATACCTGGGTTTGAATTCCAGCTTTGCCCCTAACTAACCTGAGACCAACCACGTCCCCCTCTTAGTTTGAGCTTTACCCTCTGTAATTACATCTTGGTGCAAGTCTCAGAGGAGACTCAGCATGCTGGGTTACCTAGCCCAATGCCACCATGTAGTCTGTAGTCTACTGACTATGTATTAGCCACTTTCCTTGAGGTTATCTGTTATTTCAAGAATGTCAGTAGGGGCTGGATTGACTGCAGGATTAACAACAGCATAGAGGAGAGGGAATACCTGTCTTGACCCCTTTCACTGGACTGTCCATGAATCTGCCTTCCCCCAATCCTGTGACTACCTACCCCTAAGGCCACTCATTCCAAACAACTAGTTTGGTCAGATTCCCTGGTGATCACCAATCACCTGGGTGGACAAAGGGATTATTACTACCCATCCCAGAGGGGCCTTTGCCATCTCTGAATCTGAGGTTCCCTTCTCCTAGATTACACATGTAATGCAAGGTGAAGACAAGTAAGAAGAAAATTAGCATTTGTTGAGCATACGCTATAGGCCAGATGCTGGGTGCTCGGTGTTTCACATCTGAGATCTCATTTACTTTTCCTGAGGTCCTTTGGAAGAAGTTTCTATTATCATCAATGAAGAAGCAAGAAAACTGAGATTCAGGGAAGTTAATAAATTTGAACGCATCTGTAATATATACTTCCTCTTCTTTGCCTAAATGCCTAGTTAATGTCTCCTTCAAACCTCAGTTCACCTCCTTGGGGAAGTTCCTCCTCCCACTTCCACTAAGCAGAGCTAGTGACCAGTGACCATGTTTCCTTTAGGAATTACCATCACAATACTGGTTTTGTTTTTTACAATTTATTTATTTATACAAGAAGGGAGTACAGGCCAGATGTGTGGGAGGGTGAGAGGATTCACCAGAGACAGAGTGGGAAACAGAACAGGCAGACTGACGAAATACAAATGATGAGGGGAGCAGCGGGCAAGACAGGAGAGGTCTGTCACTCCATGTGGGAGTCTCACCAGCAGGCCAAGATCGAACCCTGCAGAGGCTGTGGACAGCTTCACAGTGCTTCACTAAACCACCTGCACCACCAGGGAGGCCTTACTGGTTTTTTTAAAAGTGTGTTTATTTATGCATACAAGAACTGGGGTATAGGCCAGAGGTGTGGGGGGCAGTGAGAGGACTCACCAGAGAGAAAACAGGCAGATCTACTGAAATACACTGCTGAGGGGAGCAGCAGGCAAGACAGGAGAGGTCTGCTGCACCATGTGGGTTAGCTCCCTGGCCTGGGAGTGAACTCATGTTGCAGTGGCTAGCCATAGCTTGATAGCACTGTGTCTTTAACCCCTGTGCCACCAGGGAGGCCCCCACAATACTATTGAATGGATAATTAAGGTAAGTAGCTTTGGCTCTTTGAGGAAACCCGGCTTGGGGAGGTGAAGAGATTTGTCCAAACTTACAGAGTTAACAAGTATTTGACCTAGTGCTCTTTCTCATGCCTTATAATATGGACCAGGTCTGGGGAAGAAGAGAACATCTTCAAAACAGCTCTGGAAATTGTGGTGCAGGCAAGATTGGGCAGCAAAATCACAGACACCTATCAAGTAGACGTGGGATATGGCAGGGAAGCTGTGAGTTTCTGCAAAGGTCTTTAACGACTGTGTCCAGGTGGCAGTCTGAGCCGATTTGCGCAGATTAATACAAGCACTCAGAACTCTAGGTCTTTTTTTATCTTTTTGAGATAAAATCATAACATAAATTAACCATTTTTAAAAAAGATTTTATTATTTTTGCAAAGAACAACTGGGATACAGGCCAGAGGTGCAGGGGATAGGATAAGAGGATTCACCAGAGACAGTGGAGGGGGCAGAACTGGCAGATTTACTGAAATACACTGCTGAGGGGAGCAGCAGGCAAGACAGGAGAGGTCTGCTGCGCCATGTGGGTAGCTCCCTGGCTGGGACTGAACTCACTCGTGCTGCAGTGGCTGCAGATAGCTTCATAGGTTGCTTCTTAACCCCTTTCACCACCAGGGAGGCCCCTGAAGGGTGAATCTTTTTCCAACCAGATAGTAAATGCTCCATGTCTTGTTTATGGTTGTGTTCCTGGCTGGGCTATGTCCAGGGTATTTGGAACCTAATGTGTGTCCTATAACTTCCATAAAATGATTATAAGAATTCTTTTTTTAAAAAAAGATTTATTTATTTACTTATGCATGCAAGAACCGGTGTACGGGCAGAGGTATGGGGGGGTGAAAGGATTCACCAGAGACAGAGTTGGGAACAGAACAGGCAGACTGACTGAAATACACTGCTGAGGGGAGCAGTCTGCTGTGCCATGTGGGTAGCTCCCCGGCCAGCCTGGGATAGAAGTCAAACTCTCGAACTTGACCCGAAGAGGCTGTGGATAGCTTCACAGTGCTGTGCCTAACCCCTTGTGCCACTGTTGTAGAGCAACCCCGATACAAAACGGGGTGCCTGACTGTGGGTCCTCACCCGCGCGCTTAAAAGGACTTATCAATGCTCTACTGCAGGCACACGTGAAAGGTTAATAAAAGGTTTATTTACAAGGGAAGGGGAAATGAGGAAATGTACAGCTCTGGGAGAAAAGTGGGAGACAAAGTTTTAAATGAGTTCTACCCAATCCACCGATCAGGAATCCCAAAATGGCGCTCTCAGAGTTGGCCGCCAGCCAGGAGCAGTGAAGCCAGGAGGCGAACAATCACGAGCCAGAGAGACCCCAAGGCCCACGTGTTTGGTTTTTATATCCAACCTGGCTGCCCAACTCCACCCTCAGGTCCCAGCCACCCTCCCTTTGGTGGTGATGGGATTTGTCTTTCCCAATGTCTTGATGGCTTTAGTCTGGAGTGGGGGTGGGGTCCACAAAGCCTGCATGGGATTAACTCAGGACATCATTTCCCCCTAACA